GAATGTTAGTTCTCATGCAAATTGTGTTATTGAAAGTCTTTTGTTGAAAACTGAATGTCCTAAAGTGTAAATGATTGTCGTTTCGCGACAACGAATTTTGTTTCGACCAAAATGAAAATACATTTACAGTCAATGAATGTCAAATGAAGGTATTGTTTTTCTTTTGATGATTTTGAATGTTAATGAATATGTAAATGTTATTCTTGAACGTTCCTTACGCGCAAATGAAGGTCATATTGGTGTTAATGAGAGTTTATTGACCATAAAGAAAGACATTTGGACACAAATGAATGTTTATTTTCTGTAAATGAACAGCAAAAGGTGTACTTGCTGGTTTTAAAGAACGATAAGAAAACTCACAGCGAAACGATCATTCACTGTGTATCAATCAATTCTCGTTTAAACTGAAAATGTGCGCTTGTTTAAAGCCTGATTTGAGTCACATTGAAAAATACCTCTTCCGGTACTGATAACCTTCGTTCCATTGGCAAGGACATGGAAGGAATTTGGGACTAGCGTTCAAGGAAGCTTGGCTTTATTATATTTTTTCACGTCTTCAGTACTATATAAAAGATGCACTTCCCTTCACTTCTGCAGATTCGAAGTTGCGGCAAGGACTTTCATAGTCACTACTAGAGGAGAAAGCATCACACTCGATCTTGAGGCAGTTAAAAAGAAGACTAAGGAGGTAAGCCAAACCTAACACTAACAGGAACATACAGAGATAGTTATGCTACATAAATATGCTCATGTAAAGGAACTCTGTTATGCTTAAAGCTCAGTCGGGACTACTCACTAGGCACTTAGTTTTTTTTAATTCTATGCTATTTTTTTCAGGGTTCGTAAACTTCGGAGTCCGGAGAAAGCGTTTCAATATTTAGAACCGTAGACTTAAAGAATTCATAGTTCTAAACATTGGAAGCTGTATCGTTTGTATCGTTTGTTTGTCTCCTTTCCAGTCTTCGTAAATAAACATGGTAGGCGCTGAAGGGAAGTCTTCTTTACCTTTGCTCGACTTAAACAGCTCAACTATTTAAATCCCGTTTGTACCTTACTCAGTTGCTTGAACGCGCTGGCCAAGATTGCAACTCGATTATTTAGCTTTTCATCCCCGTCAGGCATAATCACAGAAATTGAGTCAAAGAAGTTCGATAGCACTCACATTGACAAGTGAAAGAGAGACAGAAGTAAGACAATCAAAATTGAACCTAGTACGAGTAAAGCTGTAATTAATCGAAATGAAGACAACATTGCACGACTGGGAAACTGATTTCTAAAACTGAAGTTAGCGTTTGTTTTTCATTCGTAAGGCTCAGGTCAAGCCTTGTTTTGAAAGCGCGAAGTAAAAATACTTTTGCCCACGGAAGTTCTTATTTTGAGCATTTTGATCTTCCGATTGTTATTTTCGTGTTTCGTCTTGTGACTTTTGACATTCGTTACTCCATGTGTGCTGTAATGTTTCGTGATTCAGCGAGGAGAGTTAAGGGGTCACGTGACTAGAAGTTCTACTTTTTAACATCCCGCTCTTTAAGAGCATTGCGGGACAAAGAACCTTTACATCGAACAGTTCTACTTTGTCATAGTTTGGATAGTACTCTTAAGTTGTATGAATATGTTCTTACTTTTAGCAGAAAGCTAACAAATAAACTCTCACGTGAAGTTTTATCTTCTTAGTTTAAATAGACAACTTTCTGTAACATTTATTGTTCGTTTTTTTTTGTTGTTTTTTTTTTTTCATTTTATCATGATTTATTGCTATTTTGGATAACTAACGCCAAAAAGCGCCACGGGGATTGGTAATAAAACTTTTATTGCATTTGTATCGTATTCAGTTTTGTTGTTCACTTTTGGACGCCATTAACTAGAAGGCTAGTTTAAGTGGTCTTTAAATCCAAGAGAAAATAATTTCCATTCTTTAATCTCATGTCATGGGGGTAATGAAAGGGAAATTTTATCGTATTAGTTGTCAAGGGATAAACTGCACCGTTGTTGTCCTATGCACTTCAGTAAAAATACTGACACTTAGTGATTTTATTGATGATGTAACCATCTTGTAAAAGTACTGATTACTAGTAATTTCTGCATTTAGTACCGAAATTTCAAGAACTCTCAATGAGACAATTGTGACACGTGAAATGTAAAAGTTGTAATCTATTTTTAGTTGCTTGAACTCGTGTAACATTCGTTGTTTATCTACGCTGATCAGATGTAACTTAATCATGCACTCGTTACTATAAATCAAGCGACATTGTAATTACAATTCGATTTATATTCTGATGTACCCTCCGATGTAGACTTGGATTCAACCGAGTGCTTTAATTTACGGTCACAACTCATCAATGCTAATGTGCACGGGTTGTTGTGTAGGTAGTGTAGTTTCTAACAGTTTCTCTCG